TCTCTCTCTCTCTCTCTCTCTCTCTCTCTCTCTCTCTCTCTCTCTCTCTCTTTATCTATCTATCTCTTTCTCTCGCTCCGACATTCTTCTTTTTCTTTGAGCCCAACAAGGTTAGCAAAGACTCTGGTGGAGTATTCAGAGGTCCAGACTAGAGTCCGCTTGTTGCCGGGGACCAACAGGCGAGTGACCGGGGAAAAGCGCGAAACGGCACGGGCTTGGGGGGGGGGTCTCTTTGGTGGTGGAGGTGGTAGTGGTGATACTTGCTGGTGGTGGTGGAGGTCATAGAGGTGGTTGCAGTTGATGAGGCGGTGGTGTTTGAAGGTGGTATTATTTTTGGTTGTGGTGGTTATGGTTGTTGATGTAGTGATGAAGGTTAGAGTTGATGTGGTGGTGTTGTTTGGTGTTGATTTCGGTTGTTGATGTTGTTGTTGTTGCTGTTGTTGCTGTTATTTTTATCGTTGTTGTCGTTGTTGTTGTTGTTGTTGCTGTCGATGACGATGTGATTGGTGGGTGTTGGTGGTGGTAATAGTAATATGGTTGTTGTTGTGGTAGTGGTGGTGTCGATGGTAACTATGTTTGCTGATGTTGTACTGATGTAGGTGGTGGGTTGGTTGTAGAAGCAGTACTGATTTTGTGATGCTGGTTACGGTTATGGATATGGTAGTGTTGGTGGTGGACATAATGGTTGTTGTTGATGTGGAGTTAGTAATGGAGCTGGGGGTAGTTATGGTTGCAGATGTGGTGTTTGTGTCGGTAAAGAAGACAAAAATTGGTAACAGAAAATCAACTGAAACTTAAAGGCGCTAAAAAACAAACAAAACAACAGCCTCAGCTCAAAAATAAATCTGAACGAAAAACAAAATCCCAAAAATAGAACCGGACAACAAAGCGTGCGGGAACATCAAAACAACAACTTCCAAAGAAATTTGAACCGAAACAATATTGACGACAGGCGACACTGACGCTTTTTATAGCGCTACCAGAATGCTGGGACATCCATTGGGTCAATTTACAGTTTGTCTGAAACCAAAACGGCGGAAGTGGACCGAATTACAGCAATAAACAACATCCGGGCAATAACAACATACTGGATGTTAAAAAACATACACTGGGACGAGAGGACGAAGTAAGAAAACAATTACAGAGCTTCTGGTTGTGGGCATACTGTATGAGAGAACATAAGCATAACAATAAACTCTTTCTGTTTCTTTCTTTTTTCTATCACTCTTTCTGTCTGTCATCTGTGTCTATTTTGCTTCTGTCTGTCTGTCTGTCTGTCTATCTGTCTGTCTGCTTATCTATCTATCTATCTATCTATCTATCTATCTATCTATCTATCTATCTATCTAT